AACCGTGTTTTTGAAATGGTAACTTCCATTACCGGTTGAGCAGATATTTTGTCCCCACGACCCTTCTTGTGCCATCTTTGAAGCTGGGATGTGCTGGCGAGATCCGGTTGTTCATCATCCTCCTGGCACAGATCTTCTGTGCTCTTGCTGTCAAATAAACTAAACTTGCACGCTTTAAACATTAAAGCAAGAATGTGGTTACAATATCCCACTTTGCCAGCTTTGCATGAACAGTTGGCATGTATGACTTGACCTGAGACAATGCACATGGCAAAACGAAGATCATGTGGAGCTTCACTTTTCCTGAAACTGTGATAGCAATTCGCTTTCAAATAAAAATACCTTTGATCACTGTTCGCCTCAATTTCCTTTAGGTATTCGTCCTTCAGAAATGTTTTTGCCTTCTTTAAATTAGTTGGAATTGAGTGGTGCTCGGCATTTGCAACTCGCTTTCCAGAATTTGCCACGTGCTGGTTCATTTCGGCTCTTGTGAAACACGGCATCCTTTCAAGCGACTTTCCCCATCCATCGCTCGGGTATTTCACACTTGAGGTGACAGGAGAGACATAATCGTTTGGTAGTAAACTCGAAAACCTTGCCTTCCTTTTCGTGTAAATTTTATCTCCATCAGGGTCAACCAGCATTTTATCCCTTCCATTTTCAACATAGTCTTGGACTCTGCAATATAATAAAGCAATAATTCTCAACTGCACGTTTTCGTAAACTCTAAACTCCATGTGATATCACTCACGAACTTAGCTCTCACCGTTTTACGAGCTGTGCTTTCGTCTTAAGACCCTTGAGTGAATCGCCACGACATCTCAACCAAAACTTTAGCTCGTCATTTTTCAGTGAAGAAGGATTTCTACCAGCTAAGGAAGCTCCAGGAATATCGTCTTCTGTGAGTATCACGCGCACAGTTCCATCAGAAGATCTGTGAGAAGCCATTGTGGTTTTGTTTTGATCTGTGAACCTTGGCCTACCAAGCCTCGCTTTCATGCATTCGAAACCAGGCCGTTTCCGCGCGGCGGCCATTTATGAATAAGGTCTATTCCATCTACTTTTCTAACTAGACTAAGCTTTCTGGAGAGGTTTTCTGTTCTTTTGTAGTTTTGAGGCAAGCGGAATTGGTTTTGTTTTGTAATATATTTGTGTTGTTGTTTCAGAACATTTGCAAACTCAAGTAATGAAAGAAGAGGAATTTCGAATGTAGGTAAAACTATGACATCTTTAATTTTATGCAAATATATATTCCTGTAGTCTAAGGAACTTTTTTGTACAGATTTTGTCTTTACTAAGTATCTTCCCATTGTGGTTGACGGTTTACCTAAAACCAGGAAGTTATGCCTCATACAGTTTTAAGTTGATTATCGCTTGAACTTTTCAAATAGGTCAAGTAAATACTGGTGTAGTTTTCAGAAAACAGCTGATTTTAAGATTTGAAAGAGATTCCAAGCCATTTAGATAGTTTATTGTCTTTTGTTGAGTCGAAAACAATGTTGTCTCTAAGATTGCAGTCGAAATACCTAAACCCTCTCCAAGCCATTACATGGCACTAGATGACAGAACCCGTTCACAAGTGATGGCAGATGCTAGTCCACTCAGCAGTGAACAAATCAACGAGTACGCTTCTCTTAATCAATACACACGCTCCTGGGAGATTGCAAGAGAACTAAAGCAGATCGTTGGAAAAGGTGCCTTTGGTCAGGTTGCCAAGGCAACAGCTATTAATCTACAAGGAAGAGCCAAGAAGACACTCGTAGCTGTTAAAATGTTGAAAGGTGCCAAGTTATACCGAAGTAATGTTTTACTTAGTGGTCTTTGGAAAGGCTTAGACGTCTCTTCAAATTGTGCTGTTTTCTTTCAAACTCTTTGTTTTGTTTTTAAGCGTATGTTTGTGCATATTTGCCAAGTTCCTGTTTAGAGTAGTTTCTGTTTAAAGTTACCTCCATAGCTTGAACTAGTCAACAATGAATCTTTGATTCTGTTCTGCCTAATGTAGCGGTGTAGTTTAGCGTAAATATTCCCCCTAAAAGATGGTTACATTTTAGAGCCTCAGCGCTCAGTTAGTTTCTTTGACGAATACAAGCACCTTAAATACGATGTAAGGTAAAGTTAAATGGTAGATATCCATCTATATTTCTAGCTATCTATTTATCTATATTTATACGTTTGCCATTTTAAATGGTACAGTTGAATGATGTGATTTTGAATTTATGTAACATGTTATTACTCGATGACTGATCGGAAATCATGTCGTAGAAAATGCTTCTGAATCAGAGAGAAAGGATTTGCTGTCTGAACTTGAATTGATGAAACAACTCAAACCTCATCCTTACGTCATCAAACTCCTGGGATGCGTCACCAAATCTGGTAAATCATAAAGAGATTATTATCAGCTACTGCTAACGTCAGACAGAATTAGGTTTTAAATCATAGGTTTGTTTCGTCTTCTTCGACTTAAGATATTTTTCCTCTTTTTTATATCAGTAGTACTTACCTTATCTTAGTAATTTAACGGATGTAATATTGCTCTATAAAATAAGAAACCGACCGCACATACTTAACCTGGGAAACATACTTTGTCAGTATGACATCATGACTACAAAACGACTCAACTGACTGAGGAAGAATTGACGTCGGTGGGTACAGAACGACCGAGGGTATGAAACGATTGGAAACCTTAAAAAGCGGTCATAGGGTGAAAGTAGACGACGTGCAGTCCGTCCTTTTCTGCGAAGTTTGTCGTGCGATTAAAAAAAAATCTGCGGAAACAAAATTGATGTTAGCGTGCCGCGTAAACCTCTGGGATTGATTCGCATCTTACACCAAGAGTTCGGCACAATACTCGTAGTCTGAGTTCAACAAGGTTAACTTTTGAGAAAATCCGCCGACCGATCCATAAAACTTTGGCACATTCTAATCTTGCGTGCACGTGTAAGGTCTGGATAAAGCTTATCTGACTGCAGAGAAATTGTCACAATATTATAATGTTTGTTGAATACCAGCGTCTGTACAAACAATAGCTGAGATTAAAGATCAGCAAAATTTTCTGATGGATCATAAATGGACTCTAAGCAGGAGTGCATGCATGGGGTTTGTGCACACGTTGCGCATATGATCCGCTCAGATATAAATACATTTTGAGGGCGGGAAGCTTTCCGGTGGTAGACCCCGAAACAAGAGTTTAATACGACGTCAGGTCTGTGAAATCGACGTATTACCCCTTTTCAATCACCCATTTCCGAATTACCCTTGGTGTCTTTTTCAAAACGAGGCCTTGTGCTTAACCATTCTTGTGAAAATGAGTTAATTTGCATGTGAATGAAAACTGATTATCATATGAATGGATGAGCACCAGGACTCGTTTTGAAAATGAGGCCAAGGGTAATTCGGAAATGGGCTATTTGTTTTCCAAGTTAGGAACTCGTGGCTTTGCCTCTAAAACACATTTACAAGGATTGGGAATATTACGTAATTGTACTAGAGTTTATATTTCATTTTGTAATAAACTCGGAATTAACGTCTTACTCTTCCAAGTGGTTACCGCGTTTATTGGAAGGCCACGTTTATTGGTAAATTTGCTTCCATCTACGGCAGGTAATCGAGTATTGGCGTTACCTTGTTTGCTTTCCTAGAGCCACTGTTGGTTTTGATCGAATATGTTCCTTTTGGGCATCTGTTGGGTTACCTGAGAAAGAGCCGTGGATTAAATGACAAGCACCCGGATATCGAACCAAAAACAAATCTAACGTCACAGCAGCTGATGAAGTTTGCTTGGCAAATTGCTGATGGGATGTCCTATTTGTCATCGATACCAGTGAGTGATAGAATTCTTCTTTGAGTTATGTCTTTATAGAATAAGGCCCCATTTGGTACTCAACATACCTCACTCTTTTACTGACTCCTGGACTCATTCCGTAGTAAATAATCGCACTTCAGCTGAGTCACCCAAGTCTCTTCTTTCGTTAGAGGGCGTTTTCCAACAGTAAAGTTTTCACTTTGTCGAAGGTTATTCATCGAGATCTTGCAGCTCGTAATGTGTTGGTTGGAGAAGAGGAAACGTACAAAGTGACGTACTTTGGAATGGCCAGAGATGTGCAAGTGGACAACATTTACGAAAGAAAAACCAGGGTATGAGAAATGTGCTAAGCGAGAAAGCTGCGAAATAAGATACCTTTGGCTGTTCAATAGAATGATGGAACGGAGGAATGGGGGATGAACGGAATGGCGGAATATTTTAAAATGCAGAATGACGGAATATCCCAAAACGTATATCTCAAAAAATGGATGGCAATAGAATGAAAAAAAAATTGTTTCCAATGAACAGACGAAATAGAAAGAAGCATAGATAATCAATGCTCGAGCCTAGAGGTTAAGGGAACCATGAGGCTTTCGAGTGAGTCCCTTCAAATTATTACTACTATTGCTATGATGATTATCATTGTAAATATTATTATTTGAATCCATTTAATTATTTGTTGAATGTCTATTACACAATATATTCTTGAATCATATTTGTCCTATGGAAAAGGGTACTCATAAATATGTGGAATGCGGCAAGTTTTCTGTTGCATGTGAGACATTATTCTACAACACTATCTTCTAGCGCCTGATACAACTTTGAGTTGTTTTTAATGCAGCAAAAAGTGTGCTATACTAGTAGCCACGTGCAGTCTTTGATTGTCTATTTGTAAGAAAAGTCTTTATGTCCGTGTGAGCCTTGAATTATGTGGCTTAAGAGGCCTCTCTCGAGTGGCTGCGTAAAGAAAACAAACGCAGTCAGCTTTCAGCAAGTTTCGTTCTAGTTTTTAAGAAATAACCCAAGTATTTGTATTTTTGCTTCTTATTCAGGGACGTCTTCCCGTAAAATGGACCGTCATCGAGGCGTTGCTTTACGGAAAATATTCGACGAAGAGTGATGTGTGAGTACAAGGACGACATAAACTGCATTTAGGCTTAATGAGAATGGTTTCTTTATGAACTAATTTTTGCATTGTGTCATGGGTAGTGACCAGGGATCAACTCCTATGACACGTTTACTCTGTCCCTCTTCTCTCCCCCTCCCTTCCTCGCCTATGATGTTTGAATTAATGTTTTGGCAGGCAAGAACTGTTATTTCTTTTATTCATCCTGTTTTCTTTTTTACAGGTGGAGCTACGGAGTTCTCCTCTATGAGATTTTTACGATTGGTAAGTGATCATATCTGGGGTTTTTCAAGTTTCGGTCATGTGTATCATAACTGTCAAGGTACTTTATATTGCTACAGTCGCTGGACGTTGCCGAAAAAGTTAACGAACAGTGATAGTGTTCTGTGAAAATATTTTTGCATATTTAGGGCCTTTCATTTAAGAGTATGTTGACCTTGGCTGCTCTAATTCAGGTGGTTCACCTTATCCACGAATGGATGGAAGAAAAATCGCTAACTCACTTCAAGAGGGATACAGAATGCCTAAACCACAACATATGGATGATAAGTTGTATGATGATATCGTATTGTCGTTGTTGGTTTTTGTTTTGTTTTCGAATACCTTTTATCGAACAAAAGTATTTGTCTATCTTTGTCCGAATAACATGTGTGCCTCAAGATTCGCCATCTTTACTTGTTGAACCAGTTTAACGAAGGGAATTGAAAGAAGTAGTACATTATCACGAGTTTTTAACTGGTATTACTATATACCATTAGTGAAAATCAGACCTGAAAAAAATGCTTAAATAGTGCTTTACTGCGAAGGATCGTGCACATATACGTTTCATAACCGCAGTTCATATATATGTATTTCATATATATTTTGTTGTTTGATTTATCATCTACGGGTTTATGTCGAATTAATTTGATGGCCTGCTCCCAGTTGGCTTGTTAGCTCAATTGGTAGAGCGCTGCACTAGTATCGCAGAGGTCAGTGGTTCGAATCCCGTACAGGCCTGAATATTTTTTTCAGGTCTGATTTTCACTAATGCTTAAATAGTGCTTTACTGCGAAGGATCGTGCACATATACACTTACACCAATGTTCAACATCTTTGTACATTCCTTTCCACCAATATCGTTGCTTAACCTTATTGAAAGTCTTATGGACTCCAAAATGCGCACCGGAAACGTGGTCATGCATGTTCGACAAAATTTCAAATCTCAATGCTGGAGGTACAACGAGCTGAGAAAATGAATCCCAAGAATTGCGCTTTCTATTGTTGCCTAAATGGTAAAGTAAACCATCATGTCCGATGTAAAAACTATCAGTCACAAGCAAAAGCTTGCGCGCCGCAGTATCGTCTAACGGTAAAATATCATTTTCTAGGTAATCGATTATCTCACTAAGGTCGAAATCACGCCTTTGCAATTCTCGTACTTTCGCTACTGGTGGCTCGTCTTTTTGGATTGAATTACATTCCCTTGTGTCATAAGGACGTCTAGACAAACTATCCGCATTGCCATGCATCTTACCAGGGCGATGAACAATTTCAAAATCGTACTGTTGCAAAAGTAAAGCCCATCTTGCAAGACGACCAGAAGCATCCTTAACATTCATTAACCAACGTAACGAACTGTGATCAGTAACAACTGTAAATTGGCGAAAGA